AATTAGGGAATTCATCCAGCACGTTCAAAACGTTCGTTGTGATATTCACTAATGATACTCTCTGACCGACAGGAGCAGGCAATAATTTAAGATGCTTTGGTGAGATATAAAAGCCTCTTTTAAGAAGGGGCCAAGTGATGTAACTAGGGTGCTGGTTAAAAATGTACCTAGGGTCCGTTAGGACTCAGGAGGAGGGTGAAAATTAAAACCTACAGTTTGTAGTCATTCACCTTTTGACCAGGACCCTTAATCTACCTCATTGCTTTTTAGTTACTTAATTTAAGTAAACTAAGAAGATTTATCAAGTTATTATTTGTACTAATTGGGTATTATCTTTTTTAAAATATTCTTGCTAATCATGTGTACTAATTAGAACTACTATTTGATGAAACTTCTAACATATGTAGCTATAGCAAAGACTGCTTTTGAAAAAAAAGATAAATATAAGAGATAAAATAAATTGAGATCTTATATTTATGATAAAATTAAATATCAAATTAGCTCTTATATTAAGAACAAAAAATAATATATAATATTTAGTATTATTGGATCAAATTCCACCATTATTAGCTTGAATGAAAGTCGCTTCCTAATGTAAGTTTTTTTTAATTCAAATTTTTTTGACTCCACATAATTACTGTCGAATTGTTCTTTTGTTCTAAATATAGTAGCCGAGTTTTGGTCCTAATCAAATGTAATATCTTAATTCATTATTTTTTCTTGCATTTATTATTTCTTTAAAATTAATTTATGCAACACATAAACTGATATACCCAATGTCACACGGAATTATTTTAGAAATATTAATAAATAATTTATTTAACGTGTATAAAAAAAATAGTTTATTTAACACCCTTAATCTACCAAAATAGATCAATAGCCTGACTACATTATTGATCGAAGAAATACTCATTTGCTAAGTTAGTAACCCTCCTTAAAGTATGTTTTTTCCCCTAAAAAAATCCTTAAAGAGATTGTTGGAATAAGTTTTGGGATTTAATTTGTTAATTTTCCAGAAGGAATGCATGGATGAAGGCGAATGCTTCTCCCTCATGCCAATCACCATTTTCATTTTGTTGCCATAGTCTTATAGCATTTTACATTTCTTATACTCTCTTTACCCAAAGTAATTTTAATTTGAATAAAAATGTCATATTTTATTTGTTTGGATGACATGACATGAACTTTATGTAATTATCTCTATATGTGCAAATACTTTCTCTACAATAATGTTGAAACATATAATAAGAGAGGGGATCACAAAAAAATGACAAAAATAAAAATATAAAAATTAATTTCATTTTCTACATATTTATTACTCTATCTTTTTTTAATCAATTTCTTATTACATCATTTTATATAATATTTTTTTCAAATTATTATATCAATGATTCGAAAATAGAGTATCATTATTTTGTAAGCCGTTTCTGTTTAATTTATTTCCCGACATACATGAAATCTTTTAAAGCAAAATTGGGAAAAAAATTCCTATTGAAAATTTTATTGGTGGAAAGAATCTGACAAATTTTTATGCATTAAAGGTGCTTGGTAATCTACAAAATTTGTATATACAAAATATTAATATTTTGATTTAAGTCCCTTTCATCAATAACATTTTTGAATAGGAGATTAATTTTTTTTCCTCTTTTTGAAATGTTATATGGTATCTTTAATCTAAAGTAAAATATATCAACATCCCCTCTCTTTAACCTAATTACAAATACCTTCTTTTTATTTTGGAAACTTTTATAGAGTTTCCTTAAAATCAAAATATATATTGTGCAAAGCTTTTTCCAGTTTTGAGATTCAACTGTCATCTACCCATCCGTTAGTTAACCATTAAATTATAGGATTGACCCATTATTTTGACCAAATTATCCTTTCTTAATACAAATATTACTTAATAATTATCATTTAATGACATATTATCCATCTTTATTTGAAATTAAAAATAATTTTAATAAATATTTTAATACTCTTTGTTATACTATTGAATTGTTTACCATATTATAAATTTTATTAATTTTATAAATACAAATTTTTATTTTACAATTGTTTATTTATTTAAACTTACTTGTGATGTAATTTTTTAAATATATATTAGTAAAAAATGTTTTGTAATTGCATATATGTTTTTTTCAATAAAATTATGAAGTTATTTCTTAATTTATTAAATTTGGTAAAATATCAAATAGATTATTAATAAATATTAATATTAAAAGATAAACTACATATTTAATATAATGAGGGGTAAAGTAAGAAACAATGTTTATTCTAATATTTTTTAATTAAAAAATGTATATAAAGAATCTTTTCAGAATATTCTTTAACGGTATTAATGATTTGGACTAAAATAGATGTTATCAAAATAGAGATAAGGTCCGTGTAATTAAGGTAAAATAGAAGGGCGGTCAGAGTACTTTACTTTTTAATCTATCATGGGTGTGACATCAAAGTGATGTAATCGTGATCACAAAAATGGTCCTAATTTTTCCCCCCCAAAAAGCGTCACATTAGATTAAAGGAATCTGCATTATGTTGTATGTCTTATCTTCAAACTAACGTGTCCCCTTCTTTGGTGTCCCTTTCTTTACGTAGACAGAGACTAATTTATAAAAATTATTGTTAAAACTCATATTAATATTATCACAAATTTTTACTTATAATTTTTTTATTTCGAAGGTTGTTTTTTTTTACTATTTTTCTTAAACTAATACGTCCTTCTTCTTTTGTTTCTTTCCCGTGTATCCCAAAAAAAAAAAGTGTCCCTCTCTTTCTGTTTCGGGAAAACCTCCAAAGGATTTATGAAATGATGTGGCCCTTACAAATAGGACCGCCCCCCCCCCCCAAGTAATACTGCTTGATTTACATACGTTGACACGTTTGAGGCTTTTTCTCCTCTTTTAAAAGAACCATGCCATACATGTATGAAACAAAATACTATTTCTATTTGGTGATATAAAACTTCCTTAACTAATTTAAAATTTTTTTTTTAAAATTATTAAATTAGTTAATTAACATGTATGATATGATTTTAAAAATATTTACATATATCATTAGATTATATATTAATTCATAAGTGAGGCAAATTAGTCAACTGAGTTAAACAGAGGAGGTAGTGCTGGTTATTTGATTTTTTTAAAATGATTTTATCGTTAGATTAAGAAAGTTCCTTTTTGATTGAACGACGAATTAGAGACTTTAAAGTTCAATCGGATCAAATCGTCCTTGCTAAACACAGCCAACACAATAAAAGAGAAAATCAAAGACGTGTGAGCTGTCAGACGGGGGGATAAAGTAAGGAAACACATGCTGCTGAAAGAATTTTAAATGGTAAGGTTTTAATAATGATAGAAGAAATAGAAAGAACTGAAATACATGTGTGATAAAAGGAACAATATAATATAATAATGATTTGAAATCAAAAGAAGCTTGGCTTTGCTTCTAGTTTTTTTTTAGACACATGTATTTTTATATTAGAAGCAATCTTGATTGAGGTACTATGTGGTACTAAATGTCGTAATCTTTCCTAATAAGAATTTGAATTTTTTTTAGGCTAACACATAGGTATTCTCTTATTGGAGGTAATGCTATCGGAGACACTGTCAAATATTAAATATGGACACATCTCTTAATGAGGATTTGAATATTAATTCATTATAGGAATTAGCTTATTCCGTTTTGCCCAATTCCATTGGTAAGAATTTGAATTTTGATTTACTATTGAGAAATTAGTTTTTTACTAGACCGAAACTCCCTTGGGCTTTGCTTCTAGTTGCTGATAAATAAGCGAACACAGGAACTTCTGAGCGGTAAAAATATGGAGATATTGGGCCTTTGAGCGCAAATGGATACTCTTGGTGATGAAACTAGAGAAGGAACAAGATATGATTTCCGGGTGCACAATTGACAAAAGGTGGGCTGAGAATCATCACCATGAATTCCAAAAATAGAAATGTAATTATCCAAAAAAAAAAATCTCAATAAAAACTGGATAGCACAAACACCACGGACTTTCTCTTTGTTCAGCTCCATCTCTATGACACACATCTCTCTCTCAGCAGCACGGCGTTGGTTTCTCTGAACCTTACTGCATGGGCCACCACAAGGGAGAAATTATTGCAAGGTTTACACGAAACTTTTTTAAAGTTGATTTTATCATTAGATTAAGAAAGTTCTTTTTGATTGAACGACGCGTTAAAGACTTTAAAGTTCAATCTGATCAAATCTTCCTTGTTAAGCACAACCAACAGAATAAAAGAGAAAATCATAGACGTGTGAACTGTTAGACTAAGGGAGCAAGTAAGGAAACAAATGTTACTGAAAGAATTTCAAATGCGTAACTGAAATGCATATGTGATGTCAAAAACGAGCGATATAATATAGTAGTCATTTGAAAATTTCCCGACGATTTAGCCCAAAAATTTTTGTAAATAAGCCATGAATATTTCACCAAAACCAGAATCAAAGATCTTTTATGCGCCAAGGCCGACCTGCAATTGACAAAAGGTGGGCTTTCATGGCCACTGATTATGAATTCCGAAAACAGAAATGTAATTATTAATAAAATCTCAATAAAAACTGGATAGCATAAATACCATGGACTTTCTCTATGCTTAGCTCCATCTCTGTGATTCACATCTCACCCTCTCTCTCACAGAGCAAGACGACGTTGGTTTCTCTGAACCTTACCGCGTGGGCCACCACAGGGGAGAAATTATTGGAAAGTTTCCGCAAAACTTTTTTACAGTTGATGGATGCTACGCGTATAGGCAATTTCCAGGAAACTTCCTCTTCCTAAGTGGGAGACAATGAATCAGTGCAGTGGGGACACCAAAATAATTACCATGGTCATTTCTCCGTCAATAAAGTTAAATATCATATGGCAGAATTAGTTGAGTGCTTTTAAGTCTTCTCTTCTCCTGCACTTTCTCCTCAACTTGTTTCTAATCATCGAACACCAGAGAGAGTCTCCCTTTGATTTGTGTATCGGAGGAAGGATGGCGGAAGAAGTACCATATGAAGTGGCTACAAGTCTCATCAACACGTTGGCTTCAGCAGCCTTCAGAGAGATTGCTTCCATTTATGGGGTGGAGAGAGAGATTGATTGGCTGAAGGAAACTGTTGGAGACATCAAAGCAGTTCTCGCTGATGCTGACCACAAGCAGCAAACTGAACAACTCATCCAGCGCTGGATAACCAAAGTCAAACAAGTTCTTTACGATGCAGATGACTTACTTGATGAGATCCACACTAAACATTTGCTGCGCCAGAGGGATGGAAAGGGAAAGGTAAGTGACTTCTTCTCATCCTCCAATCCAATCCTTTTTCGCTCCAAAATTGCTCGCAAGATCAGAAGCATTAAAGAGCAATTTAATGCTGTTAATAAAAGAATGTCGGAGCTGAATTTAGATCGAAGAGCTGTTGAAACGAAGCCTAAAAAGAGTAACCGGAGGGAAACTAGTTCTAAGCTTGAAGAGAATATCATTGGCAGGGAGGAAAGTGAGAAAGAGGTTATTAATCTGTTGCTAAATACTGATAACAATGAAAATGTTTCTTTGGTTGCTGTTGTGGGGATAGGTGGTTTAGGTAAAACTGCTCTTGCCCAACTGGTCTACAATAACGCTAAAGCCAACAAACTCTTCGATAAGCAAATGTGGGTATGTGTTTCTGACGAGTTTGATGTGAAAGCACTCGTTAAAAAAATATTGGAATCCTCAATTAACGATGGTGTGAGTGACCAACAATTGGAACTGCTCCAAAATAAACTTGAGCAGAATTTGAATGGCCAGAAATATTTGCTGGTCCTTGACGATGTGTGGACTGAGGATAGAGAAAAGTGGCTACATTTGAAAAAATATCTGATGTGCGGTGCCAAAGGTAGTAAGATTTTAGTGACTACTCGTAATCAAACGGTGGCCAATATAATGGGTGTTAAGAGGCCATATCTTTTGGAAGGATTGGACAATGACCAATCTTGGAAACTGTTGAAAAGATTGACATTTGATGATAATGAAATAACGACCCCAAATCTGGAGTCTGTGGGCCAAAAAATTGCAGAAAAATGTAAGGGCGTTCCGCTGGCAATAAGAGCTATGGGAAGTTTGTTGCGCTCAAAATCACGGGAAAGTGACTGGGAAGATCTCTTAAAAGGTGACTTTTGGAAGCTACGTGACGCTAATGATTCAATTATGCCAATTTTAAAGTTGAGTTATGACAGTCTGGCAATTGAATTAAAACAGTGTTTTGCTTATTGTTCTTTATATCCAAAAGATTCGAGATATAATAAGAATGAATTGATTGATATGTGGATGGCACAAGGCTTCCTTGAAAACAAAGACGAGGAACAATGTCTAGAAGACGTCGGTGAAGAGTACATTCGTATTTTGTTGATGAAGTCATTTTTGCAAGATGTTGAGACGGATGGATTAGGAGAAATGGAATATTTTAAAATGCATGATTTGATGCATGACCTATCCCAATCAGTTGCTAGTAGCTTTGACATATACATTGAGGGAGGAAAAGACGTTCCAAGGTATCCTAGACATGCTCTTTTTAAAACCTATGACACCAATAGTTCACTAAATGTGCCGGATCTAGGTAGATTGAGAAACTTTCGTGAAATGAAGGAAAATTCTGAAAGGGATCCATCCAATCTATTTGTGTTAACATGCTTACGGAGTCTAGATTTGCCACACTCTGGGAAGTATTTGCCTAGATCAATAGGTAAAATGATCCATTTGAGGCATCTTAATCTCTCTTTTTGTCGTCAATTGACTTGTTTGCCCAAGAGTATAAGTAACTTGGTCAATTTGCAAACATTGAGATTGACCGGCTGTGAGAATTTGAAATTTCCTGGAGATATTATCACAAAGTTTGTAAAGTTGCGCTGGCTTGATATAACATATTGCAAGGCCCTTGATGATGGAATGCCTATGGGGTTGGGCAAAATGATTTGTATGCAAAGGTTGTCACATTTCATAGTGGGTAATGATGATAAGGAGATAAAGAAAGCCAAATTGAACGAATTGAAAGATCTTAACCTCAGAGGTAGATTAGCCATTGAGAAACTTGATTCAGTAAGGGATGTAGAGGAGGAGTCGAAGAATGTTAATTTGAGAACAAAGAAAAACCTCATTTCCTTGACCTTGAATTGGGGAGATGATCCAAAGATGGAAAAAAGTGATGCCATGCGATTACTGGAAAATCTTCGCCCTCATCAAAATTTGAAGACACTAGAAATAGACTGGTACCCGGGGGTATGCCTATCCGATTGGCTTGTGTCATGTACAAATCTTGTTCAATTAAAGCTTGTTGAAATCAACAATTGTCAATACTTACCAGTTTTAGAAGGCTTTGTTTCTCTCAAGACTCTTCACATAACGGGGATGCATAACTTGGAGTGCATATACTATGAAGGATGTTCATCATCAGCCAACTTCTTCTCATCTTTGGAGGAATTAACAATTTACTCGTGTGAAAGTTTAAAGGGGTGGCAAAGGGAGGCAAATGTCCAAAATACAAGAGATAATGAGTGGCATGGTTCACTGCCTCCATTTTCACGTCTTTCAGCGTTGAGAATTCGTAATTGCCCAGACTTAAGATGCATGCCTACTTTTCCAAATCTCGTGACGCGTTTGGAATTAGTCAACTCCAGCATGACGCCATTGGTAGACACATTAAGTATGAGCACAATTGGGCTGTCAACATCACATGATATGACTCCATCTCTTTCCATGCTCAAGTCTCTTGACATTGGAGGGATGGAAACGGAAGCATTACCAGAGGAATGGATGCAAAATCTCTCCTCTCTTAAAGATCTCTCCATTGGGGGATTTTCCAGTCTAGAGAAACCATTTCTTCATATGCGGAATCTATCTGCTACACTCAAGAGATTGACTATTGACCGACTTGGTGATGAGGATTGTAACATACAGTGTCAAGACCTTTGTTGCCTACGTTCTCTCCAAACAATCAGTTTTTCTTATTGTGATCACCTCATAGCTTTACCCGAGTGGATTTGTGATCTCCAGTCACTGCGCTATATGCACATTTCGAATTGTAAAAGCTTGGAGTTATTACCAGCAGAAATGTCTCGCCTCACTACTTTACAAACACTAGAACTCTCTGGAGTTCCACTTCTAGAGGACAAATGCAAGGGAGAAACAGGAGCAGAGTGGCCAAAAATTGCTCACATCCCAAATATAACGATCATTAATTGGTTTCTAGTGGTATGCTCATTATATCTATAACTACTTTATTAAAAAAAAAAAATACTCCCCCATTTTTTTTCACCTTCATATAAGAATTCCTTACTAAAATGCTTCCAAGTTGATAAACTCCACTCCCCTTGCTAATTAACGTTCCATTGCAGCCAACCTATATTTCCAAGAGAAGAAGGCCTCGCAGAGCATGCTCTGCTCACTGAAGCTTTAAGACGAGGTACTCTACTGCTACTTAAATTGATTATTACTATAGTATTCGCCAACTAAATAACTTGTGCGCCCTTTAAATTTCAAACTAGTTTTGTCCAGCTACATGGATTATAAAACTTTGAAAACATTCAAAGATGATTGGTTTTATTTGCTCTGTTTTTACGAAAATTCCAGGTCAAAATGGCTATGTTCAGGTTGATCCTGTGAGTTATGTTTACTGCAATTTAAGTAAGCTGCTTTGGTATTGAGTTGAAATATGAAAAAGACAATATGCATATACTTACGATGAAATCCTATTTTGAAGAATAGTATCGAGCAAAACAAAATCGGTTTACAAATTATATCACCATGTCTTCTTATTCTTAATTGATTTTCGGTAATTACTCAATTTCAGAATTGGATGGATGTGATAAGGAAACTCCATTCCTGTTCTGAATTTGAATTCAACTGCAATGAATTATATCGCTGGCCGTTCAAGCCTCAATACTTATATATTTTAGTTTGTCTGTTCAATGCTTATTTTAGTCACTGGCCTCAAATGCAAGAAAGCTTCATTGGGCCCAACAAATTATGCAGCGGACTTCAAATCTAATAGATCTTTTTCTCAATATATATTCATAGCAGAGAACCAACAATCTGCTTTCAGGAGATTGAAGCCAAACGATGAGAATAAGGTCCAGGTTTCACGCTCTTGATCTTTTTTGTAGTTAATATTTATATGGTGCATGAAGATGCTTCCTTAGTTACTGAACTATAATATACACGCTTGGCATGAAAAGCCTACTGTATGCATGAGGTTAATTCTTTAGAGCTATGAATTAGTTAAATAGAATCACTAGATGCTTAAGTTCCTATTTGCCTATAATTAGTGGGGAATATTTAGATAAAATGCCAAATTCATAACTAACAATTTTGAACTTTTTGATGTTTGTGATTTATTTTGCAGGATGAACAGCTGGTTTTTTCCCCCCACAAATCTCAAGTTTCATATATTTGGTAAAGAAGAATTGAGAAGATTAACATCACTCAGGTTGTGGAATCCCCATAATAAATAAAATTGAGTTTGTAATTCATCCCGAATTATGAAAAACAGCCACATTTAATTGTAATTTTTGGAGTGTTGACATGCTATATTTGATCTTTATTCTTTTGATGTGTACTATTTCTAAGAACACGTAATGATTTTTGATACAGTGGAATTTTTCGGAATTGGTCCCATGGTTTTTTCCCCCGGTACTAGAGGGTCTTTCCTGTTAAATTTTTTGTCATTTTTCATATGAATGGGAATGCTCTGAGGGGAATTGGCGAATTTGCTGCCCTTTTGGGATGGGACCGTTGGCATGCGATCCATGTGTTTAAGATTCATGATTTTTATCGCTGCATTTTTTTTCATGTAACTTAAAAATAAGAGTGAATGCATTTGTTATCCCGATTTGTCTTTATTTTAGTTCTGGTTTTTAAAAAAAATTTTATTTAAAATATGAGTGCCAATAATTCAATAAAAACTTGGATTATTTTGCCTTTTGAGGGATCAAAACTTATTATTTAAAATTAAGAGGACCAAAACCAAAATGAGGGACCACAAATTATATTAACCCTTAAAAATAAACATAAATATTTCAATTGATTAGTTAAAATGGAACAACTTTTTTGGGTTTGATGTCAGCCTAGACTTTCATAACATTACTTCATAAGAAAAAATAAAAGGAAGCATCATCATCATCTTCTAACTGTAGGAAAAACAAATGCCATCTTATAAAAAAGAATAAGAAATTTGTTCTTCGGGCGGGTTATAGAAACCAATGATTAATTCTTTCCTTTTTAATGGGTTAAATTTTGCTATTGCATGTTCTCTATATAAGCTTTCCATATTTTAATGTTATTTGGGGTGGAAATTTGAATTTTGTCCTTATTGCAATTGGATTTATGCAGCAGTTTTGGCTTTTGCTTTTTTTTTTTTACCATAACATGGGTTTCCTTTTAATTTGTTACGTTATTTTTTTGCTAGCATGTGAGTATAATTCATGTCATATTCTTTTCATTTGTTCAATTTAATGCAATCGCATTAATTTTTGGAAGGAGAGGATCATCCTCTATATTAATGATTCTTTGCAAATAAACTTTATGTCGCAATGAATTTAATATTCTTAAATCTGATTTTGAATCTTTTTGTTCCCCATGCATGGGATCCTACTTTTCCAAAAGGGAAGCCTTTAAATACAATGAAATACGTAAGATCAATTATCTTATATTTTCCTCTCCAGTTAGAAGCAGCAATATATCCCTTTAAATAAAAAGGTATTTTTTAGTGCTTTTGATATTCATTATTAAATAAGAAAACATTATGAAAATACCCACACACAAAAAATTATCGACACGTTTCTGTGAAATTACACATAATTTTTAGAAGAGGTTTGCGCATTTTTTTAAAATTGAGAAAATATATGTAATTTTCTTTTAAAAAAATAATTTTGACAAGATGCCAAAGAAAGATTTAGCGAAAAAATTATGTGATTTATAAAATCAGATGTACAGTGTTTGGCATCTTATCTTTAATATGATAATATCATTAAAATGTAATAACTTTGATATTTAATATAAGAGTTGAATACTAACTTAAAAATATTAAATGGCTGTTGATTTTTCTAAATTATCCTATTTAATCATATGTATTAGAATTTAGAATTATTTTTTGATAGGAAGCTTTCATAATCAATAATCAATAAGAATATTTTGAAAAAATTACAAATTTAAAAAACAGAATGAATTAAAATATTATATTTATAAATAAATAACGGAATTTAATCTCCTAACAAACTCTTCGTATGTAATCGGTAATAGTTAGCAAATATTTTTATGAACACTTTTTTCAAACTAGAAAGCAAGAACAAGAAGGCGACCCTATTGTCAAAACTCAAAACAGGGAATGAGGACACTCCAGAATTCTTATTAGGTGGTAATGAAAATTTTCATCTACTACCTCTTGTCCTAATTATAAGAACTAGTTGAATAATTTGAAGAGATTAAAGAAATAAGTTAATAAGTTAGTTATTTGTAATAAATATGTGTTATATTTCTTAAAATATCCTTACTAATTAAGTGTATTGGCTAAAACTATTATTCTTAGAAAGACTACCTTAGGAAAAAATATATAAATATGAGAGACAAAGTGAATTAGGGTCTTATATTTAGGATCAAAATAAAAATCAAATAAGGTCTTATATTAAGGATCAGAGGTATTATTAGATTTGCTTCAATTATCAATTTAATCCTTACATCTAATATTTATCAATTTGAGTCATGAAACTGCATAATTATATACAATTAATTCTTATGGTTTGAAGGGAAAATAACCCTATTAATTACGAGTAACATAATACCTAATAAAATTTAAGAAACTTGATTAATAAATATTAAAATTCGAAGATTATATTGATAATCAAAGCAAGCTTTGAAGGATTAAAAGTTTTATTCTCGTTTTTATTAACTCATTTTTAATTCACGTGGGGTGGTACCAGTTGGCTTTTTCAATAATGACTTTAATTAAAGTGAACTTCTCACAAGTGCTAGCTGCGAACGAAACCGTTCATATTAGACGTACTCTTAAACAATGCAGAAGCACTGAAAAAAAAAGAAGAGGTAAGAGCTACCTCATCTTTAAGTCATTTAAATTTCCGTCCTAAAAAAATTTGGGTTATTTAAATGTACAATTTTCAATAATTTATTTTACTTCGAATATTTTTATTTCTGAAAATACAAAATATAGAATAAAATAATTTTTATTTCGAAACATAAAAATTATAATCATATCAAATAAAAAAACGACTAAAGTCAAACTTAAATAAAATTTACTTTGAAGTTTTAACATTTTAATTTTTATTATATTCATATCGATAATAGCATCAAAGAATATGCTAATTTGAGAATGCAGCTTTTCCGAAACCGAAAAGATATCCCATTATTTACCCTTGTTCTCAGCCAAAAGGCTGAAATTAAAAGATATTGAAGTGTTAAATATTTTGTCCAGAGGACCGGAGGAGTATTATGTTCCATTATCTAATCTATATATAAAATAAAATTTTTTAAGCAAAATGAGCTATTTATAATTTATAAAAAAATGTAATTCATTCCTTAAATTGAGACCTAACCTGAGTCTACAATATATATTTATTGTAGAATCATGGAAAAGCATTAGAATCATCATTACATTTTAATTCAAAATTTCATTTACAAAGATATACAAAACTATATATAAATTTAATCCTTTTAGGAAATCAGCTACAAGAAGCCAAAATAATTTCCCCTATACTCGTCAATGATATTGAGACAAAAATAATCTAACAAGTCTCTCAATTACCCTCAATTTAATCTGGTAATATACTAGAAGGTCGAAGCTTATAATACCGCATACCGAAAAATTATATTTTAAAAATATTAAGCAGGCAGGGTTCTTCTAATTTTTACTGAATTAAAAATAATAAAAATTTGATTTTAAAATTTATATTTTTAATAAAAAATCCAGCAACACTGTTATATGTAAAGATATCATACCTAAGTTTTTCTTCTTTTAGAAAATCAAATCACATATGGAACTATGGATTGCATTGTAATTAACTACTAAAAGTAAAACCAAAAAACAGACAAAATTAAATGACACTTTACCAGCAATAGAAAAGTAAACCGAAAATTGCCTAAATTTGGAGAAAAGTTTCAGTCCGATTTCCTTTCTAAGCAGAAAAGTTTTACGTTCTCCCAATGCATTTGTTGCTCTCTAACAGTACTTACTAATTTGCCCAGATTTATTGGCGTGCCTTTCGTTTTTTGTTTAATCTCGGCCTTGAATAAATATATCAGAGAAAAAAACGCACATATGAACACGTACGTACCCACGTTGTCTTGTCTCTAATCTCTCTCTGGACGACGACGACGACGATTATGTCTCTGCTGCCACGTATCAATTATTCCTCTCCTTTTGGGTCTTTCACTGTTGGTATCGCTGCCTTCTCCGGTGACTTCACTCACATGCACTTTCCAGAAGTTCCCTGATAATAAAGCTTATTCCAATTGCGCTGACCTTCCTGTGTTAAACTCCTATCTCCATTGGACCCATGATTCCTCCAACTCTTCTCTTTCCGTCACCTTTGTCG